AACCATATCACAGGTCACAGTATCTTATACTTCAACAATAACCATATCACAGGTGACAGTATCTTATACCACAACAATAACCACATCACAGATCACAGTGTCTGATACCTCAACAATAACCACATCACAGATCACAGTGTCTTAGACCTCAACAATAACCATATCACAGATCATAGTGTCTTAGTCCTCAACAATAATGACATCGCAGGTCACAGTGTCTTATACCTCAACAATAACCACATCACAGGTCACAGTGGCTTAGAGCTCAACAATAACCACATCACAGGTCACAGTGTTGTATATCTCAAAACTAACCACATCACAGGACACATTGTCTTATACAGCAACAAAAATCATATCTTATTTCACAATGTCTTAGACCTCACCAATAACCACAGCACAGTGAACAGTGTCTTATACTTCAACAATAACCACATCACAGGTCACATTTGTCTTAGACCTTAACAATAACAATATTACAGGTCACAATGTCTTGTTCCTTAAAAATAACCACAACACTGGTCACAGTGTCTTATACCTCAACAATAACCACATCACAGGACACAGTGTCCTATACCTCAACAATAACCACATCAAGGTCACAGTGCCTAAGACCTCAACAATAATCACATCACAGGTCACAATGTCTTATACCTCAACAATAATCACATCAAAGGTGACAGTGTTACATACCAAAACAATAACCACATCACAGATCACAGTCTCTTAGACCTCAACAATAGCCACAGCACAGGTCACAGTGCCTTATTTCTCAAAAATAAACACATCACAGGTCACAGTGTCTTATACCTCAACTATAACCACATCACAGGTCTCAAGTGTCCCTTACCACAAAAATAACCACATCACAGGTCACAGTGTCTTAGGCCTCAACATTAACCACATCACATATCACAGTGTCTTAGACCTGAACAAAAACGACATCACAGGTGACAGTGTCTTATACCACAACAATAACAACATCACAAGTCAGTGTCTCATACCTCAACAATAACCACATCACAGGTCACAGTGTCTCATACGACAACAATAACCATATCACAAGTCATAGTGTCTTAGACCTCAACATTAACCACATCACAAATCAGTGTCTTAGACCTCAACAATAATGATATGACAGGTGACAGTGTCTTATACCTCAACAATAACTACATCACAGATCACAGTGTCTTAGACCTCAACAATAACTACATCACAGGTGACAGTGTCTTATACCTCAACAATAAGCACATCACAGATCACAGTGTTTTATACCTCAACAATAACCACATCACAGATCACAATGTCTTTGACCTCAACTATAACCACATCACAGGTCACAGTGCTTTATACCTGAACAATAACCATATCACAGGTCACAATGTCTTAGACCTCAACATTAACCACATCACAGACCACAGTGTCTTAGACCTCTACAATAACCACATCACAGATCACAGTGTCTTTGACCTCAACAATGACCATATCGCATGTCACATAGTCTTATTCCTCAACAATAACCACATCACATGTCACAATGTCTTAGTCCTCAACAATAACCACATCACAGGTCACAGTACCTCATATCACCACAATAAGCACATCACAGGTCACAATGTATTAGCCCTCAACAATAACCACATCACAGATCAAAGTGTGTTAGACCTCAACAATAACCATATCACAGGTCACAGTGTCTTATACCTCAACAATTACCATATCACATGTCACAGTGTCTTATACCTCAACAATAACCAAATCACAGGTCACATTGTTTTATACCTCAACAATAACCACATCACAGATCACAGTGTCTTATCCCTCAACAATTATCATATCATAGGTCACAATGTCTTATACCTCAACAATAACCATTTCACGAGGCACAGTGTCTTATATTTCAACAATAACCACATCACAGGTCACAGTGTCTCATATCACAACAATAACCACATCACAGGTCACAGAGTCTTAGAGCTCAACAATAACCACATCACAGATCATAGTGTCTTAGACATCAAAAATAACCACAGCACAGGTCACAGTGTCTCATACTACAACAATAACCACATCACAGGTCACAGAGTCTTAGACCTCAACAATAACCACATCACAGATCACAGTGTCTTTGACCTCAACAATAATCATATGACAGGTCACAGTCTCTTATACCTCAACAATAGTCATATCATAGGTCACAATGTCTTAAACCTCAACAATAACCACATCACGAGGCACAGTGTCTCGTACCACAACAATAACCACATCACAGATCACAGTTTCTTTGATCTAAAAAATAACCACATCACAGGTCTTAGTGTCTCATACTACAACAATAACCACATCACAGGTAACAGTGTCTTATACCTCAACAATAACCACATCACAGATCACAGTCTTAGACCTCAACAATAATGTCATCACAGATCACTGTGTCTTATACCTCAACAATAACCACATCACAGATCACAGTGTCTTTGATCTCAACAATCACCACATCACAGGTCACAGTGTCTTATACTTCAACAATAACCACATTACAGGTCACAGTGTCTCATATCACAACAATTACCACATCACATGTCATAATGCCTTAGACCTCAACAATAAGCACATCATAGATCATCATGTCTTAGACCTGAACAATAACCACATCACAGGTCACAGTGTCTCATACCTCAACAATAACCACATCACATGTCTCAGTGTCTTATATCTCAATAATAAACACATCACAGATCACAGTGTCTTTGACCTCAATAATAACCACATCACAGGTCACAGTGTCTTATACCTCAACAATAACCACATCACAGGTCAGATTGACTTATACCTCAACAAAAACAAACGTCACAGATCACAGTGTCTTATACCTCAACAATAACCACATCACAGATGTCAATGTCTTAGCCCTGAACAATAACCATATCACAGGTCACAGTGTCTTATACCTCAACAATAATCACATAACAAATCACAGTGTCTTAGACCTCAACAATAACCATATCACAGGTCACAGTTTCTTATACCTCAACAATAACAGTTTAGTCAATCTTACAGATCCAAAATATAAATTAATGCCCCAAACCTAGTCTTTTTTTTTTTTTAAAAAAAGTCTGTTTAGTATTCAAATACCTAATGGTTTGGAAGACTAGAATTTGTAAGATTCATAGATGGTGAGGGAGTGGAAACATGTTGACATTAAATACACAACCTTAATCATGAATGTAAATACACCCCAAGGAATTAAATACACAACCTCTATCATGAATATAAATACACCCCACGGCATTAAATACATAACCTCTATCATGAATGTAAATATACCCCAAGGCATTAAATATACAACCTCTATCATGAATGTAAATACACCCCAAGGAAATAAATACACAACCGCTGTCATGAACGTAAAAACACCCCAAGGCATTAAATACACAACCTTAATCATTAATGTAAATACACCCCAAGGCATTAAATACACAACCTTAATCATGAATTTAAATACACCCCAAGGCATTAAATACACAACCTTAATCATGAATGTAAATATTCCCCAAGGAAATAAATACACAACCTCCACCATGAATGTAAATACACCCCAAGGAATTAAATACATAACCTCTATCCTGAATGTAAATATACCCCAAGGCATTAAATACACAACCTCTATCATGAATGTAAATACACCCCAAGGCATTAAATACACAACCTTAATCATAAATGTAAATATTCCCCAATGAATTAAATACACAACCTCTATGATGAATGTAAATGCACCCCAAGGCATTAAATACACAACCTCTATCATGAATGTAAATACACCCCAAGCTATTAAATACACAACCTCTAACATGAATGTAAATACACCTCAAGGCATGACCTCTACCATGAATGTAAATATACCCCAAGGCATTAATTCAATACATAACCTTTATCATGAAAGTAAATATACCCCAAGGAATTAAATACATAACCTTTATCATGAATGTAAATACACCACTCTAAGCCTTGGATGGTAGCCTCAAGTTCAGCTGGGCATCTAGATTTGAATATTTTGGTGTCATTAGCTTAGAATTTGTGAGACATCGGTCGTGGATCTATAACACTTGAGAGCAGCAGAGTGTATGGAATGAAGAGAACGGGGTCGATAACAGAACCTTGTGGAACACCAAAACATAGATCAACTGTGCTGGAATGTTTTCCATTTATGGATACAATTTATGTCTGTTTGACTAAGTAGGATTTGAAGCATAGTAAGACTGTATAGTGAATACCAAGTACACGCTGTAGATAACATATCATGGTCTATAGTGTCATTTGCCAGAGACAAGTCAAAGAGGGTGATGACTATAAATTTTCCGCTATCCAAAGGTGAGAGAAGGTCATTAATTATTCTCAGAAGGTCAGTTTCAGTATTATGGCGACGGCGATATGCAGATTCTACATTGGGAAAAAGATTGAATTCAGATGAGATTGGACAAAACATCTTCTTCTAAGATTTTAGACATGAATGAGAGGTTAAGCACTGGGTAGTAGTCCTTTAAATCAGTTTCTTTAACAGAGGCTTTACAATGACAGTTTTGTAAAACGACGGGAATACCACGGATGAGAGAGTTGATAACGTCGGTTAACGAAAGCAATATTGAACCTCCTCTCTCTCTCTCTCTCTCTCTCTCTCTCTCTCTCTCTCTCTCTCTCTCTCTCTCTCTCTCTCTCTCTCTCTCTCTCTCACTCACACACACACACACACACACACACACACACACACACACACATTTGGATTTTTAACGTAGCTTTAACAAATTTTTTTCAGTCATATCACTATGATGTCTGCAGTGTGACAGTTTACAGTGATATCTAGCACTGGAGCATCATGCCCCAGACATGTTGCATCATGTCTCACTCAGTCACATTATCCAGACACCATGTCATATCATTAATCTCTTACTGCCGAACGCCTAGCGAGGCAGCTATTAGTACCATTTTATAAGTCTTTGGCATGACTGGCGGGGTTCGAAACCGCAACCTCCCGCATGCAAGGCGGACGATCAAACCAATAGGCCACCCAAACGGTCAACATTGAATCCAAGCACTCAGCAGCAGTGACGTCGAAATCGGAATATGATTCACATGAGTTCTTCATCACAATAGTGTCTACCAAATCCATAGAGACAGATTTAGGTGTATCACAACTGTGAGTCAACTGAAATTGTTTGTCAAGCTTTTCTCTAAATGGACTAAACTTTAAAACGAAATAAAATTGGTTATAGGTCGAAAGGAGAGAAGGTAGTTGGAATTACATTTATTCCTTGATATTAGCTTATTTCTACTCTCAAAGTGCTCTTTGCATCCGGAATGTTCGGGGATCTTAATATTGTAGTAGGCTGATTTTACTGCAAGAACTGTTTTTAAATTATTCTTAGCAACATCTTTTGGTTGACTGTATGGGTCAAAAATAGGATCGAGTTGTTATGACAAATATTTTAAGTACAAATGATAACATTGGAAATCCTTCTAAATAATATTAAAACTAAATTTTCATTGGATTAAATTCTCATTTAATAATATTTGGAGTAATCTACATTACAAAAATATGCAGATTAACCTTTTTTATTAGAACTATATTCTATTTAGATAAAGATTGCTTTTTTACAACATGTACAAATCTCATTCTTGTATGTGCAAAAATAACTTAACAAAAGTTTAGAATCTACCCTCGTACAATCCGACTCTATAACAAGTACAAGTGTTTCCGCATTATACATGTATAAGCTGAAATCACCAAGCTTACACTCAGGGACAAAAATTCTTACATACTGTCTGACTTAGTAATCTTGTAGTTAGAAAAGGGCAGAATAAAGACGCAAAAATATATGTAATTCTATTGGGATAAAACCGGATCTCGATAGTTGGAGCAACCATGAGGTAAAGCCATCATGCTAGATCTCCACCCTCAAACCTCAGGACCTTACCAAAAAAAAGATTAGGAAGGCTTCTTGAACTTATAAATAAGCGTCTAAAAGAGCTAGCACCCCAGCTTGCCTTCTTGCTCCAGACTAAACTAGACTTTTTATATTTATTACAAGTAAGAATCGTTATGTTCATAAAAGTTTTAGAGAATAAGTACTTTTGAAGGTTAAAGATTTCTGTTCTAACGTTCCTAGCTCAAATGATCTTATGTGGGTTTTTTTTAACCTAATATTATAATATAATGGAATGTTTAATTGTTTTTAAGAACTTATAGTTGTATTCGTGATAATGGTAAAAAGATTAAATTGGTTACCGACTTCATGTTTAGATTCAATTTGGAAATTTAAATAGCCTTTAAGGAATAAAGAATATAGCTTAGTAATCTGTTCAAATTGGTATTTCATCTTAAATTGAGTAAAATATATTTCTTTAAAACGATTGTTGCATTGATGGAAAGCAATAATCTGATACTGGTCTTCGATTACTTCTCATTAATCGCATTAAAAAAATTGACAAATAGAGAATGGACATGCTTTCTGTCATAACTACATTACGGAAAAATGGCAAACACGTACATGGGTTTGCTTCTTTTACGGTTTCATGGAAAATATAAGGCACTGAATTTCTTTCATTTGTGACTACAATAAATCGTCAGAATGTGATCCAAGATAGCGAAAATCACATTAGTAGTGGCTCTGATAAAACGCGTGAAGAAAGTGCTCCTGAAATATTTTCAGACTCAGCGAGAAAAGGTCTCGGTGACGGTGATTGTTTCCAATTTAGCCTAGAATCACTGTAGACAGGCTGGCCTGGACTATAATTATTTGTTTCCATTTTAATATGGAATCACTGTGGATAGACCTGGCTGGAATACAAAGTTTTGTTTCTATTTTTATATGGAATCATTAAGGATAGACTCGGCAGTAATATAATCAGTTGTTCCTATTTTGATATGTAATCACCGGAAAGACTCGGATGTAGTATAATGATTGATTTACATATTAACGCTTTACGTAGCCTAAAATCATAATATTTAAAGTCTCTGATATCAGAAACAAAACACTTGAAAAGTATATCAAAAGGCACAAAGCAAATTTATTTATACAGATCGCTTTCCGATGGTCTCTGACACATTTGTCATTGATACTAGCACCTTCTTTACACAAAGGTACATAATAAAATTACTTTTTTGACATATAGGTACGTGATACCAATACTTTCGTGACACAAATGTACGTGATGCAAGTACTCTCTTAACAGAAAGGTACGTGAATATCAACACTTTTTTGACATATAGGTACTTTCTTGGCTCACAGACTCCAGGTACCAGCACTTTCTTAATACAAAGGTCACTTATACCAGAGCGTTCATCACTGACATTCCTACTAGAATATCGTAAGCAATTTATAATCTCTAACAAAATTGACCTAGAAGTAGCTAAGATCCTAATTTCATGTTTGTGATTGACCAGTACTAATTTATACATGAACCAATTCCAAGTAAAGCAAGCAATTCGAACCATCTCGTATCTAGGTCAGCATCGATCACAGGAACAAGACATTGTTGACTTTCGCATCGTGGACAACAGAAATGAGATAATATAATAAATCCAAATGCAGATTAAAAGTAAAACAATAATGGGTAGAGAAAATAAATATAATTTAAAAACATCCGGCTTTCACATGATATAGAACCAAAAAAATTTGCGTCGGGGTATAAAACTTGCCGCGTAAATTTTCCAATTAAAGGGTAAAGTAAAGTTCTTAAATTGTTCCATTTTTCATTGTGGCGCAATTAAATTTAAGGACAATTTGTTCGATTACATCATCAAAAAAAAGCCATGCCATGCCTGATGGGGGGGGGTTGTTGTTGAGGTAGCCGTACCATACCCATGGGGGGGATACTCATCACGATGCATAATGAATACAACTATGTATACATTTCACGATATGTATCAACTTTGTGCAATACTAAACTTGCAATGAGATACGCACATTCCCATGCAGGAAATCTTAGAATCTGGAAGCATGGTGTACAAGACTATAGAAAATCGCATCTGTTCCACTTGGTATATAACCTTGTTATTAACTGTTATAAAAGCTCGGCATTAATTGAAATATAAGATTGGTATTAATTGGTACATAAACTTGTCATAAACTGGTACATAAGATTGTTATTAACTGGTATACAAACTTCAGGTGTTACGTGTCTATGCTCTTAAAATAAGTAACAGAAAACACTTTGTAAAATTTAACAAAAATACTTATTTCCATAGAAAACAAATTGAAAATTTGAAAAAAGAACTTACAGTATTGCGAATTAAATCCCCAAAAATTCAAGAATTACAGACACAAATCTTAGCAAGTCCCGAATAAAATTCAGTAAAATTCTAGATCATATTCTATAGTGCATTCGATGACGTGTCTGTATTAGCTATTAAAGTGCTGATGTGTCAACAGTCTTTTTTTTTCATCACAGAGATATAATTCCAGGTTTGAATTCAGTATAAATTCCAAGAATTTTATCTTAGCACTTTTGTATTTCCAGAGACAATAGTCCTCAAATTCAATAATTTGAATAAAATAAAATTCAGCCAAAAATGGTCACAACATAATACAGCTTGAAAGTGTTGGATGTTAAAGCATGAATGAGCAAGTTCTCACAATCACAAGATTATATTATTCTCTACTTGACCTCACGCCACAATTAGTATTTTCTAAACAAAAATCCATTGCCTAAAAATGGAAAATAGCCTTCTAGAGTGATCCTGATGTTTACAAAATCAGAATGATAACATGTAAAATTCACAAAGTCCAAAACATTGACCCCAAACTATTTACTTAATTTGTCAATAAAAATCTTAATATTAGGCCCATGCACATATAGAATAGAAATTAGCTTAAAATTAAAGGTTGAAATAAAATTAAATAACACAAATTTTACAAAATGTTAATCAGATCAGACACGAACTCCAGAATAGAATTTACATTACAATATCACGTAATGAAATATTTTTTTCAAAGCTAACAAACAATCAAATTAAATATACTTAACACATGCCAGACATAATAATGTACTCTCGTTACTCGTTTAAAGTTATTTCGATATGCTTACTGTTATACCATTGATCTGGTTATCGGTAATCATCAGTGCCTGTGAAAATTATGTATACATAGTCCAATGTAGGCATTTTTAAATTTATGCAAGTTGTTTAATTGGTGGACCATGATTAATAATTACAGCAATACATATAACCAGTTCTGCGATTGCCTGGCGACTTCAGCAAAAACGGCATGACATCGACAGCAATAAAATAGCGATACAGATGTGAACCAATGAATCTGTAGACTTTTGTATAAGGTATTGTATTGGCATCATACTTGGTATGTCTAATTTATGAATATAAGTACTGGATTCTGCTTCCCTATCGAGTTAGACCTCATGCAACTCGTGTCCTTACCTTTGACCTTGACTTTTTTTTGGGGGGGGGATTAGCGCAATTGTCGTATGCACTAATCTAGTAACATAAAATTATCTATTCGGAATTCTAGAATTTGAAATGACTGTAGTGATTTACATATTTATTTATATTCTAATAATTTGGAAGATAATCCATTGTGTGCTTGCGATGATGATATGGAAAAGCATACCATTACATACTTACTTGGAAATACTCTATTGAACAGCAACTTTCTAAATATTATGTACACCAAGGTTTTTTTGTTGTAATATTTAGTACATGACTGTCCCTATATTATGTGTCATTTTTGTTCATGACTGTGTCTAAATTATGTGCAATAATTAGTAGAAGGTTGTGTCTATAATGTTTTATTTTTAGTACATGATTGTGTCTATATTATGTGTAATTTTTAGAACATGATTGGGTCTATATTATGTGTAAGTTTTAGTACGTGATTGTGCCTATATTATGTGTAATTTTTGTTCATGACTGTCTAAAATATGTGTAATAATTAGTTGAAGGTTATGTCTATAACGTTTTAGTACATGATTGTGTCTATATTATGTGCAATTTTAATACATGATTGTGTCTATATTATGTGTAATTTTAGTACATGATTGTGTCTATATTATGTGTA